AAAAAAAAAAAAAAAAAAAAGATGTGATGTACACACACACACGCACAGATATATATATTCCCCATGATGAATGTATTAGATACTGCAAACATTTACTAATAAAATTCAATAAAGCTCCTTTACATAAAAACCATTAGGCCCTTCTCTGCCTAAAGTCTGTTTCCTAAGCATTGTTTCTTTTGAGACAGGATTCAAGGATTTAGCTTTACTTTCCTTGCGTCTTTCCTGCACTTCCTTATATAGTTTATTTCTAGGGATTATTGGATTCCTAGTGAAAAAGCCTGTAGCAATTTGGAGACTATAATTAGGTTTTTGCTGACTTGATAATTTCTTGATATTTTAGTCTGTCTCTCAAAACTCTCATCCAGAGATGTGTTTGATGAAGAACTAAATTAATACTGGCCATGATCCTGTTTATATTCTTTGTTGAAAAAGAAAACAAGGACATAGCTAAAATTCAGCATGAGATATACACAGAAGCCAGTGTAAGGTTAATAAAACTTTCCAATTATTGGTGTTTATATTTCTCTAAGCAGAAAATAGAGTTTAGAAAACGCAGCACTTCTATCATTTAGCTGTCATTAAGATTAAAGAAATCACTAGCTATGGTAGCACACTTATTCTTTGAGTATTGTGTAGTACAGGCCAACACTAATATTCTTGGGGAAGTGTGTACACCATGGGTCATGAATATGAATTTTTTAATCATTGAAATTCAGTTTAAAGGGAAGAATAAAATTATTGTTAACAAATTATCTTTTAAAAGAAGTAATAGAGTTTATTTTCTACATTTGTTATCATCTAACAATTTATGACAGAAGAAATCATTTATTTTGTCTTACGGGGGACTGATTTAGGGCCTTGCATATGCCAAGCATATTCTCTACCTTTAAGCTATATTCCCAACTTCCCACCCCAGACCTTTAATCTACATTCTGCTGACTTCTTGCAGAGAAACACTACTGGAATGTGTTCAGAAAAGTGGAGAAAATGGAACAAGTTTGATTGCAAGAGTGAGTGTGGTTACACGCCTGCCAATACCAGGACTTGGGTAGCAAAGGCAAGAGAATCAAGAGTTTGAGGCCAGCCTGGGCCACACAGCAAGTTCATCGCCAGCTTGGACTACATACAAGACCTTATCTCAAACAAATGGAGTTGAGCTTTTTTAAAGAATCAGTTTATATTTAACCTGTACTTTTTAGAGGGGTGAATATCATCCCTCTCATCCACAACGTATAATATGCTGAATAGTTTGTGTTTAAAGCTTTTTACCTCCTGCTTCATACTGGGAAACAAATTAAGGGATTCTGAGCATGAGCAAAGATGTAGAATTGGCAGGCAATCATTCTTAGATACAAAGTGCATGCAGAATGCTTGTCTTCTCCATTAGATATTAAGCTTCGTGAAAGCGGTTGTGATCAGTAAAATCTGTTTTCCCAGTTTATTTCTCATGATAGAATTTCAAACATGACCATGTTAAGTGAAATAAATCAAACACACAGACTACCACATGATTTCTTGTATATGAGAAATTACACATAAAGAATATAGTAAAAGATGATATGAGGTAGGGAGCTCTTTCTTAAAAGGGAAAGGGAATTAAAGATGAAGAAAGGGGAAGGAAAGGAGATGAAAAAAGGAATTAAGCTGTGATATGTACACACAACTCCACACAGGAGTATAATCATTATGTACTTCAAACATAGACTAAAAAAAATATTTGTTCACTGAATTAACACTTGTATTATAAGAAAACTGCTGCCCTAAAAGGACAGGTATATTTAACTATAGTATCTTTTATTATACTTCACTTTCCTTGAAGTTAATTACTTATATAATGAACCAGAACATATAGTTTTCCTATTTCTGCCATGAACATTACAATGCACAGTGAGTAATAGGGTAAATCACTTGTGTTCTCTGATCTCAGCGATTGACTTTATTAGATTTGACTAGATGAGACTCAACTGGAAATTCTAAAAGTCCTTCAAGTTCTAAACTGCATCCCAATTCTGAAAGCATTCAGTGAGATACCAGTATATTGAAGATCACAAAACTATATAAGTAACAGACAAAGAATTCTAGAAAATTTAAAATTTTTAATAAATGTGCTTTGTTCACAAAATGTGAAAAAATACAACAGACACAAACATACATTTTCAGGTACACTATCTCCCACCACTTGGCAACGATGGTAAAACCACAAGGTCTATTCACAATCCTGAAGGATCCAACAACAAGATTATCATTTGTTTTTGAAATGCCAAATTATTTTGGAGAGGTGGACATGACAGGAAGCCCCTTAATTTTTTTTTATATCCAAATGAAATCATTCTTAAGAGTACCCATACAGTATTAGAAGGTCCTATTAACTTCATTGTCATTACACATGTGATCTGGCACCGAGCCACAATGACTCCTTGTATTTCCACATATATATTGAACTGGCTTTGGTGGAACATGTGTTGGTTTAAATCCTATGTGAACCAAATTTGAGTAAGCTGAGTTTATAGTAACAAATTATACAAATTCAAGTAAATTTAAACTAAGTGGTAGCAGGTTTTATATTTTCTTCTTCAAAGTACTAGTTAAAATACATCATGCACAGTTTGGAGCATAAGTGGAATCAACATCTGCAAACAATCAGAAGAATTTACAGCACCGATATTTTCGCTGTAACACAAAGTCTGTCTCAATGGTCACATGTGGACCAACCTTTCAAAAGCACTGTTTTCATTTAATTTCAAAGTACTTTCATTTGTTTATTATTTTCTTTGCTCTCAGGATTAGCTAAATAAAAGCTTGGCAAAAGGGGTACCACCAAAACACAATTCTGAATTATTCTAAATATAATGATTTTACATTTTTTGTTTTGATGGAAGTAGAAGACATGATTCTGAAGTGCTTAACTGGAAAAAGTGAAGTCCACTTATTAAGGAATTATATGCTATTGAAAGTAAATGAAAGATTTTAAATTACTCAGGGCATATTTGAACAACCAATATTTACTGTATTTGGTCAATGACTTTATATTAATTACAACCTTGTTACCTTCATTAATTTGGCATGAAATTTCACTTGAAATACTGGGTACACACACTCAACCATTTGTATCTTAAAGGATAAGTTTTGTATTTCTAAATCAAGTCTGACATTCAAAGTTAACTACAGCAATTCACAATAAGCACAAAACGTCAGTTTTACCAGATAAGGAAGTGCAGTTTATGAAATTTAGGATCAACTATTGAAAATGCAAGTTTCTTTTAAAAACACACATACATACACAAACACACACATGTGCACATTTGCGCACACACACACACTTAGCCATGAAATCTGAAACTGTGATATTTCAGTGCAAAAACCTCAGTATGAGGTAATTTTAATGTAATAACCACTTGAAGAAAATCCACACAGTGGCACTCTTAAAAATGATAGTTTATATGACAATTGCTGGCTGACAAGACAATGTGGACTAAATGTTTCTAGCTGTTTAAACTTGTCTTGTTTGGGCATTTATTTCTCCTTAATCATTTATTTACTTCTGATTCAGAAACATAGAAAGGCATTTATCAATGTGGAAAGGGAAAATTCCCACAGCCAACTAATGGTTTATATTATATAGTCAAAGAAAATTTTTCTGCTAGGGTTTAGAAAGAAATTAGGCTACAAGGTCAAAACCATTTTATGAGATTTTTAAACAGAGGATTACTTTTAAATTTTTCTATTTAATTCCAAACTTGTAGTGCAGCACCTCCTTAGTGGAAAGGCAGGGACCCTATCAAAGTTGGTCTCAATACAACATCAACTCTTGTACAAGTGCAAATCCTTTCACAAACGTGTTTTCAGTCAGTATTGAGTATTACACATTGTTCCTTGCTTAAATAGAAAATTTTGTAAATGAAACCCAAACTTTAAAAAAGTAAAAGTGAACTCTCACGGGTAAATATATTGAACACCAAGGCCCAAATCAATAAGAAAGTTATGAAAATACCACTTTGGCAGTGGTATTTCTTGTACTGTGCTAAGGAAATGAGAGGAGAAATATCATTATTTCGGGAGAATTATCTTTCCCGATGTCTGATGTTGCCAAATGAGCTTAATAGAAGGAAAAAAGGAAGAAGACTTATCACCAATTCCCAAAGGTCAGGAAACACTGGATCATAACACAAAATTGAATAGAAAACAGCTCTCTGTACTAGATAACAAATGAGTTTAAAAAAAAAAGATAAGTGCATCACAAACTAAACCAATCTATGTATCATATTCAACTTATGAGTCATCAAAGTGCCATCTACAGCTCTCTACATATCTTACCATTGCAATGGTTTAAAAATCAACAATGAACTGAAAAGAAAAATATATAGAAAATTATGCTTCATTTTTCACAATAGCACTAAAGAGAAACAAAGGTACCTTTCTATATCTTAGTGTGAAATGCTAAAGTAACAGTGGTTTCTGCTACGACAGGAATCATTCTGAATGAAACTTTAAGCTTTCTATATAAGAATAAATTTTAAAATCCAGAAGTAGAAAAAAATAGCAAACTCTGTAAACCTTTGCATTTCTTCTATGCAAATCAGGTTTTAAGTACTGAGTTCATGTTAGTATTTCCGATTAGTGTAAGCCATTAGTTTAGGAGTCTGGACTGAAAGGGCCTTTTGGTTTTATATTAACTTAAAAGTAATATGGGATCCTCTAGCTCATAGAAAGGAATAGAACTAGCTTGACTTTCTCCAGAATCTGAGTCATATGGAGCATCAGGGAGCTCTGTGAAACCGTATGCCAGTTGTTCATCTTCTATATCTGATCGAACATAGCAGGAAGGGTTAGAATATTCCTCATCTTCAATACTGTTGAAATCTTGAGGAATATATAACATCCCTGGGTAGTTCCTACTAACCAAGTCACTTGTAGTTTTTAGGGAGGTTTTCCTAAATGCCATCAGATGCATGTGTGAAAACTTTGAATATTTGAAGCGTTTAAAGCCCAGGGACTCTATAGCAATCTTCCAGCTTTTCATCATCATAGCATGACGGTTCTGATGAGAGGAATCAGGTGTGATGATAAGTAATAAACCATTTAACACTAACAATTCATGAGCTTTCTTGCAGCAAATCCATCGCTGGTAGGGTGATGGAAAATAGGAAAGGAGAAGAGAGAAAACCACCACATGGAAAAGTTCTCCCGGAAGAGAATCAATAGGGTTTTTCAGCTGCTTCAAAAACGCATCTATAGCATCCTGTGCAAGCTGGAGTGGTTGCTGAAGTTGTAAGTTCAGGAAGTCACATTTATATACACTCTGCAGAAAGAAAAAGGTACGTTAAGAATTTCAAGATTACTTTCACCTTAATACATAGATTTTACCCAAACTACTTCACATTTCACAGCATTTCCATATAATCCCAGCTTTGATTATGGACCTTTCTCTTCTAAATTAAGATAGATATAACGTGGAAATAATTTCAAATATATATCTGGAAAAACTGTGTTTACTTGAACTTTAAGTAAGAGTTTATAGGAATTTTTTATTTCTAAGCTCAATCATATGTACATTCACTTTAATACTTAAAATGACTAAAAATAGGTCAATATAAAACAACTTCTAAACAAAAAAAGAAAATAGGAAGAATCAAAGAAGTGAAAGAGCCGGGGATTTAGCTCAGCGGTTTGGTGGCCTGCCTTGCAAGCGCAAGGACCCGAGTTCGATCCCTGGTACCACAAAACAAACAAACAAACAAACAAATAAGTCAAAGAAGGTAATGAAAGAGGCATTATAAAATTTGTACAAGTATAATGATGCCAAAAAATTTTAAGGTCATGAAAGTGGCCTTTAACTATTTACCTTAACCATTTAAAAAGTAATATTAATGCTACTTTTATTCTATTAAAAAGTTAATACTTGGTTTTAACAATCACATATCAAATTTAATTAAGAAATTCAAATGACCCTGAGAAGCAGTGCAACTGAGGAAATAAAGCTTCCGTAACTTGCTGAATATTAAAACTGTCTAGGGCCAGGGGTGCAGCTCAATGGCACAGCACCTGCTTGGCAAATGCAAGGCCCCGAGTTCCATTTGGGTACCAAAAAATAAAATAAGGGCAGGCCTGCCTCTTCCTCACAGAGCAACAAAGGAACTGGGAAGCAGCTGAAACCCTCTGGTAGGCCTGCCCCTTCGGCCCAGCAAAGTGGATAGCAGTGCCCATACCCCCACCCCTGCAAACAAGAGAAAGAGGACCTCTTGAGGCTCCTACATGAAAACCGAAGCCCACTGGAAAAGAAAATCTCTGTGATGAAGGTACGCCATACGATCAAAGTTGTTACGTAGGAGGGACCAGCACCTCACATCAGAATCTGGTCTAACTTCAGGGGAAAGACAGCTGGAACCTACAGTAGAACCTTGCAGAGCTCAACTCAGCAGGTGGTCAGCGATCTCAATTTGGGCCCTAAAGCCAGGAACCAGCCTGAACCTCAGGGGACAGCTGCTGGCTGCTGCAACTAATTAGCTTAGGTCTGCACACTCCTGCCCACACTGTCTACTGTGTCAACACAGACATACCTTGAAGGAGACCCTCTATTTTTATTTGTATTTTTTATTTTCAAAGTAATTTTTCTCTTATCTTTAATCATTTTAAACATTATCTTTTTTTCCTTATCTTTTTTAATCTTCTTCTCCCCCATCTTCATTTCTCTCCCTTTTTGTTCCTGTTCCTATCGTAATTCTCATTTTTTTCGTTTCCTTCTCTCAATTGCCAGTATTAAAGGAAAGTGATTAGTCTCTACACACCCAATTGCTGTTAGTTTGTTCTGTTCTTATTTTGTTGTCTTCTCCTCTTCTTTCAAAAGCTTCCTAGAGTTTGTGTGATCTTCCTGTGTCCTCTGACCTTACTTATAAACTCTCTTTATCCTATCTCTCCCTCCCTCCCCAACTCCTAAATCCCCATCTGGAATGCTATATTGAAGAGTTCATTCACTATAAACATATTTTGGGCTGATCCTCGATTTTGATTTGATTCACACAGTTAAAGGTGATAGATTAATAACTAGCACAAACTGTCATTTTCTAAGCTGTGCTTGATGCTATTGTGATGCTGATTGTGTCATTTGGGCTAAGGTGTTGTGACTGATCTAATCAGTTGTCCTCCTTGGAATAATGGAAATGAGACTGCCTCAGAGTCATTAGAGATTCAAAACCTAAAGATCAGCTATATCTAGAAGATCAAAATATTAACCCAGGAATTAAAATAAAGACAGTACCAACAATAATAATAAAAAAAATTTAAGCAAGGCACAAGCACAGACTTGTACCTCACCAAAGGTAAACTCTGGGGGAAATGAGGTGGAAAAGTCTGACAGTCAACCATCTGGACAACCTGAACAAACAGCACAGAAAGTAACAAAACAGACAAATATGGCTCTAGAAAAATTCAAAACAAGTAATTTCCCAGGTAACTACAGAGATGGTGAGCAAAATGAAAGAAATGATTGGAAATTCTAGACCAGAAACTGATAAAAAAAATAGATGAGCTCAGGACCATGATGGAAATCAGGACCATGATGGCAATCATGAAAGCCCAGCACAGGAAAGAAATGGAATCCCTGAAACAGATTCAAACAGATATCCAGGAGATTAAAAACTCTATAGAAAGCATTCACAGCAGGATGAAGGAATGTGAATTTCAGATAAAGAAAATAGGACTGTGGTCAGTGACCATGAAAAGAGAACTCTCTTAAAAACAGTAAGGGATCATGAGAAATCAATCCAACAACTCTCAGATAATGCAAAGTAGAATAATATAAGACTGACAGGAATCCATGAAGTCGGAGAAAGTACAAATGACATTTAAAAAAAAAAACAAAACTGTTCACAGAATTAGTGATAGAAAACTTCCCAAACAGAGGGGAAGAATTTGACATTCAGATAAGTGAAGCATATAGGACTCCAAATAGCCATGATAAAAAAAAAAATCTACATCTAGACATATGATAATCAAGATCCCCAACCCAACAAAAGAACAAAATATTACAAGCAGTTAGAGAAAAGAAACAAGTCACATGCAAAGGAAAGGCCATCAGAATCACAACAGACTTTTCAACACAAACCCTCAAGTCAAGGAGAGCCTGGAGTGAGGTACTTCAAATCCTAAAAGAAAACAACCTCCAACCTACACTGATGTATCCTGCAAAAAACTCTCTTTCAAAATGGATGGGGAAGTAAGATACTTCCAGGACAAAGAACACCTGAGAAATCTCATGAACACCAAACTGGCACTCCAAATATTTCTAAACAATATCCTGGAAAAAGAAAATGAAGGCCACAACTCCATAAAGGCCAACACAGCAAATACACCAGGAAAGGCAAGAAATTAAAGGGAGAGAGGGAAAAATGAAAAATAAAAGAAACAACAGGAAAATAAAATGACAATGAAAAGTCAATACATAACAGTTATAGCCATCAATGTTAATGGCCTCAAGTCACCAATAAAATAAATAGGCTGGCAGAATGAACTAAGAAGCAAAATCCAATATGCTATATATAAGAAATCCACTTAATCCACAAAAAAATTCATAGACTGAGAGTAAACGGATGGAAAAAAGTTCTCCATGCAACAGAAGCTGGAAAAAGTAGGGGCAGGAAGCTATCTTACTTGCCCATAGAGTAGATTTCAAACCAAAACTAATTAAGAGCGACAAGGCCACTATATCTTTGTAAAGGGATAACTATATATGCACCGAATACTAATGCCCCCAACTATGCAAAACAAATAGTAATGGACATAAAAAACCAAATAAGCACTAATACAATTGTAATGGTGGACCAAAATACTCCACTGACACAGACAGACAGATCATCTAGACAAAAAAGTCAATGATGAAACAACAGAACTGAAACAAGCCTTAGAATTAATGGACTTAGTAGAAGTCTATAGAGTGTTCCAACACACAAAATCATAATATAACGCCCTGCTGAACAACCACTGGGTCACAGAGGAAAGTAAAGAAATTAGACAGTTTCTAAAATTATAAATGATAATAATGCCAATACAAAATACAGGAGTTTATGGGACACAATGAAAGCAGTTCTACAAGGGAAATTCATAACAGTAAATACCCATAGTAGGGAAACAGAGCGAGCTCAAATAAACAACCTAATGCTTAACCTTAAGCTCCTAGAAAAAGAAGAGCAAGACGAGCTGAAAGCTCATACAAGGGAGGAAATTATAAAGATCAGAGCGGAAATTAATGCAATGGAGACTAAGAAAACAATATAAAAAAAATCAATAAATCGAAGAGTTGGTTTTTCAAAACAATAAATAAAATCAATAAATCCTTAGCCAACCTTATCAAAAAAAAAAAAAGAAAGAAAGAAAAGTATCAGATTCATGCAATTAGGAATGAAAAAGGTAAAGTCAGAACAGATCCACCAGAAATCCAGAGGATCATCAATTCCTGCTTTGAGAACCTGTACTCTAATAAAATGGAAAATACAGAAGAAATGGACAGATTCCTAGATACAGATGAACTTCCAAAGTTGAACGAAGAGATATTAAAAAGTCTAAACATCCCAATTACACTCAGGAAAATTGAAAATATAATTAAAACATTACCAATAAAGAAAAGCCCTGGTTCTGATGGCTTCACTGCTGAATTCTACAAGATATTTAGAGCAGAATTATCGCCACTACTTTTGAAACTCTTCAGTGAAACTCAAAGATAAACAATATTTCCAAATTCATTCTTGGAAGCAAGTATTACTTTGATTCCAAAACCAGGGAAAGATCCAATCAAAAAAGAGAACTACAGGCCATTCTCCCTAATGAACACAGATGCAAAAATCCTCAATAAGATAATGGTAAACAGAATACAGAAGATAATTAAGATCATACACCCTGATCAAGTCAGATTTATCCCAGGGATGCAAAGATGGTTCAACATACGTAAATCAATAAATGTAATACACTATATTAACAGTCAAAAACAAAAACCATATGATCATCTCAAAAGATGCAGAAAAAGCATCGACAAAATTTAACACCCATTCATCATAAAAACCCTACAGAAAACTGGAATAGATGGTCTTTATCTCAACTTAATATAAGCCATCTATGAAAAACCAACAGCCAATAACATACTAAAACCTTCATGCTAAAATCAGGAACAAGACAAGGATGTCCACTATCACCAGTCCTGTTCAATACAGTCTAGAAACATTAGACAGAACAATTAGACAAGAGAAAGAAATAAAAGGAATAAAGTTAGGAAAGGAAGAATGTAAACTGTCACTGTTTGCCAGTGATATG